ATTTCAAAAATACGGTTCTAACATAGAAATTAAGGTTCAATTGTTCTAATTGGGGTTTTAATTTGGGAATTATGCTACTTAATTTAGGAATTAGGGTTTTATAATTAGACTAATTAGAAAATTAGGCTTAGTGTTTTTAGGAATTAAGGAATTAGGGAAAGGTGATGAGATGGTGACAACCCTACACTATCATCCATGGCCACTGTCGGTGAAAGCGTCAATAGCTGGTGAGGCCTCACCCATCAATGGCGGCTTGGACGGACGCCCGAGTTTGAAATAAAATAAACTTAATAAAGTTTACCTCAATAGATTGGTTGCGTGAACGACAACCACGTCGGAAGGGATGAACGATAAAGACTCAATCGCCAGTGAAAAATGATACTGATGGCGGCGGGAGCTTTAAAGCTATAGAAAATTATGGTTTTTAAATTTAAGGGTTCGTATTTAATCTAATTATAATTAAAAATGAGATTATAAAAGATAATGTAATTGGTATTGTATTTTAAATAAATTACATTTAGATTTTTAACTAAGTTATAATTTATATGTTGAGTACTTTATAATTTTAACATTTTATAAATTAATATAGTGTTGTCATTGTTAGTGACACTCATAAGTGCTTGTCGAACATTGTAAAATTTTCCTTAGGTTATTTATCAGCTTATTAAATTTTTCACATGAAGGTACTAAATAAAATGCTAATCTCGAGTAATAATCTCAAGCAAACATACTTAATTGAGTAATCAAATTGTTTGTTTTCGTTTTTCATATTTTTTTAGGTTATAAATTCTAGACTTATTAAAAGTACAATATTTTCTTCTTTTAGAATAGTCTTTCCATTCTATTTTAAGAAAGATTAAAATTAGATTTGAAATTTATAAAAATGTTAATATTTTATAAGGATACTTTTATTCTTACCTTTTAAAAGAGATAAGATTTATGTATTGAAGTACAAAAAGTTTTTTTTATTCATTTGAGGTAAGTACAATACAATATATGTTCAAAAATAATTCTCAATCATCTATTATTGAATGCTCACACTCCTAATATTCTTGATGCTTAAACCCGATATCTCAATGAATAACAACAATTTCTTTACTACCGAGATCACTCTGTTTGTGCAAGTACAAAAAGTTGAATCCTTAGTTTAACATTTCTATTAATATTTTATTATTATTTATCTTATATTTTTTACATTTTTAATTAATAATAACGCTAAAAATAAATATATTTTTACCTTATAATTGGATATGTAACTCTTAATATTTTTTGGTTTTTGACATTATTGTGTCTTGAAACTTTAAATTTTGTATAATTATTTTATGCTTGCTTTCTATATCAGTACTTCATATTTTATTTAGGGTAAATTATAAAAATGATTACTAATGTTTAAGTAAAATTTTGTTTTCACCATTGAAGTTTCAAAAATAATAAATTGATCACTAACATTATCGATTTACAATAAATTAATCACTCATCGTTAACAGTGATTACTATCACTATAATAGAATTAGGCTATAGCGACATTTCTCTAGTCATATAACGATGTTTTTAAACGTCGCAAAAAACCTTCTTGGCATATAAAAAAACATCACAAGAAACATCATTATAACTAACGCCACAAACATTAGCGGCATTTTTTTAACAAACGCCGTAATAATTTCTGACATTTAGCGACGTTTTTTAATAACGCCGCAAAAGGTTACGACATTTAGCAGCATTTAAAGTAAAAACGCCTCTAATCGAGATTGATTTACAAATGTTAACACAAACTCTTTATTGCCCAAATTTATCGTATCCTGCAGTAACAATTTCCAATAACAACTTTGATACGACTCAAATTAAATAAAAAAATACTTAACAACATAAATAAATTGAAGTTTACAAACATTCAAGCACACAGTTCAACATTAAGTGAAATGTAATGTTGTTCAATATTCAAGTAAAATGTAATAACTAAAATAAACAGAGGATGTAATATATAACGTTGTCTAGAACAAGAAAAGATACACTTATTTCTCATGCCCGCTTCGGTGGTACATACTGAACATGCACTTCTTCACACATACTCTGTATGAAGGAACAGGAGGATTAATACTGGAAACGCAAAAGTAATATCATGCTGCAATTGTATCATCTTTTTAACGGAGAAACGAGATAGTATACTCGATTCTTGAAGATTTGAAACTTCTGGATTTGACATTATAATTTTTTTTCAGTACAATGTATATAATGTTTTGTTTACATGATGAGAGTTGAAATACGACCCCCCCCCCCCCCCCCGGGGTGTAGGATGCTACAAAGAATCAAAGACGACATGAGAAAAGTTGAAAAGGGAAACCAAATATTATCATGGAAGGCCTACATATTAAAAAAGATGCACATTGTGTTTCATACATGATCATCCATTTTACTTTTGTGAACTAATCGGCATATAAAAGGGATAAGCGAATTTTACTTGGTAATGGATGAGACACCGTACCTGCAATTCTCGTGGAAGTGCCTCTGAAACTGCAAGAGCTTAACAACCAGGGATAAATCTCCCTGAGAAGGATTTACAGAAATGTAAAGAAACCGAATATCTAAAGATCACATATGATCCAGTAATGTAAACATATAGTTTGAGAAGGCATCAGAAGCCGAAATGGATATAAAAGAAATGATATAATACTAATTGGATAATATACTGTTTTACAGTGAAAAACTATCATCAATATGTCAAAAGTATGGTGCTTCATAAAGTTCAGAAGCCATGTCTCCGACTCTTCATTTTTGTTAGAAATATCTAGTCCAACAGCATGTCCGACAACTTTTCGAAAGTATGAAGAGGATTCTCCAAATGCATGGAAAAGGTTTGAAAATTAACCATGCCCGTGTTGGACATATGCTCATATTTGAAACTAATACCCGAATTCGAATAACATAGAAGCATTCATAGAGGCATGCATTATTTCAGCAATCAGCCAAGAGAATAAATCTTAAAATCCAGGGTTCACCCATTAGTAAAAACATCAAACTAACCTCATACAATAAAGCAAATCATACAAACCTCCATTCTCCATGCAAATAAGGCTCTTAAACTTTTAAAAACTTACCAATTCGTAGCCAACGAGCAGCCCAACTTCTAGACGGATCCATCACAGATATTATCCTTAAAAAACATATGACAAACAATCATTAGCAACTATTAATGAGGCAAATAATTTCTTAAGCTTCAATACTAGCTGCTAAATGTGGAGAGAATTGCCTCACAGTTCTAGTCACCTTCTCACTAAAAGTACCAGCCAAACTATATGACAAACAATTATTAGAAACTATTAATGAGAAAACTAAATATAACCATAACAACCTTCAATACTAGAGCAAATAGAGCTCATCCATCCATTTCTAAGGTGACATTCAAAGTAACATAGATTACCTATCATTCAGAAAAGCGATGCTTAATGCTGTTAAAATTGCAGCTAAATGTGGAAACCGGCCTCTTCAAGAATCCCAAACCTGCAAAATCAAAGAAAGTGGAAGGAAAAAAGAAAATAAATATAGTAAAATAACATCGATCACGTGTGAACAATCAGCATGAAATAATTGCTTCGATAAATGCAAAAAAAAAAGAGAGAGCATAAAATCAAGTAAGAAACTAAAAGAACGAAGTATTTGATACTTTATTGCCAAATTCTTCAAGCAAACCTTTCAACCAAACTAGTTCAAAAGTTGTCATGGCCATGCTTCTGTATTCTACCTCAGCTGAGGACCTGGCGACTGTATTCTGCTTTTTTGATTTCCAATAAACAAGAGAATCTCCAATCTTGATGCAAAACCCTATGACATACTTCCTTGACATGGGACCAGCAGCCCAATCAGCATCATAGTAGGCTACAATCTTATCATTACTTGCAACCTTGAACAGCAGACCCTTTCCTGGATCCTTCTTGATGTATCTTACAATTCTAAGTGCAACATCCATGTGACTTTCTTTGGGTTTTTGCATAAATTGGTTGAGATGATGTAATGCAAATGTTATATCAGGCTGATCACGTGTAAATGTGTGTTGTAACACACAAATCTATGCAAGTATACACAATCGATGCAAGTAATATAGTAGTGAGTGAGTATCGTCTCCACAGGATTGTAAGAATTCTTTAAAGATTGCTACAACTAGGAATAGGCATCACTAACTAATCCTAAGCATCTAAATCTAACGATATAAACAAATGAGAAATGTGCTATGGTAGCTGGTATGAACAGATGAAAAAAGTTTGTTGAGGCAAAAAATGTGTGAAGTGAAGTAAGCAAATAATTTTTGTCGTGGCAAGAAAAATATGCAAGAGTAAACAAATAAAAACTGTTAAGGCAAAAATTAATTGCAAGAATAAGTAAATTAAAGTTGCTAAGGCAAAAAATGTTTGAGTTCTGAATATAAACCAACAACCTCACACAATCAGACTTCTAATGGAGCACATGAGATGGACTTGTTATGGAGATAAATTATTCTATACCTAGGATGAACTAAATATATTGTGTCTATGTTGCCCGACAAGATTTACTAAAGCGTGCCTAAGTTATCTCTAGTAAGGAACCTGATACAACTATTGCCACGACAATACCTCTCAACGTAAATAGTGACCCTGGCCTATCGATTAAGTACTATCCCTTCTAGTCGCTTAAAACCCTCTCCTTATATCTAAGGCGGATTACAACCTCATCATCTCGGATTAGTTTCATTGTTCACGTAGATCTAACCTAGCTCTCTCGATATTAGGTATCAACTCCTAGAAAAACAATTCTCTCAACAACTCTTACAAAGACTATGAATATTATGCCAAGGCACCAGACAATCTCTCAAAAGCTCTTAGAGTGCTAAGGCATAAGATTAAAACAGTGAACAAAACAACAATAAACATAAATATACTTATCATCCATTAAACATAAAATAAAGTATCATCCAAACATTTCCAACACCAAATAAAATAGTTCATGGTGTGGCTAAAATCATCCAAAAATATTCATTAAGTACAAGCCCTTAAAAGATAAGAAATGAAGAACAAGCAGAAAACTCCCAAAAACAGAGCTTTGTCGTGACATTAGATCACCACCATGGATCACTCTAGTGGGCTAGCCTCTCTTGAGGGCTTAGCCGCTACTTCGACGAAGCCCGACTATGGAGGACAACAAGAAAGGACGAGAGAGGAACGGTGGAGAAGTTGTTACAGCTGCCTTTTTCAAAGCTTTTAGGGTAAGTGAGAGTGGGGATCTCTAAAATCGTGGGCATAATATGCTATTTATAGTGACGAATTTATAGGGTTTAGTGACCTTGAAATTTACCCAACTACCCTCGAATTCATGCCAATTTCGTGAATAATATGGCAGTTGGAAGTGGTCCCAAATCCTTGGTAGGGGCAGAGGTTCATGTGAGGTGCAACAGACAGTTGGCCATGCGACATCAGTAATTTTGTCTCGTACTGCGTTAGACTTGCAAGATAAAACTTGCCACGGAAAAAATTGTTCCTCACGGTCATCGTCTTCAGTTCCTTTGGCCCTCACACAAAATTTGTCATAGTAAATAATATCTTCCTCGGTCATTTTCTATCACCTGCATCATCACAACCAACACACAATCCCTCTCATCAACATCATCAGTTTTATAAAGAAAAATTAGCCGAGGCAAAAATTTTCCACCACAAGCAATAAATGTCCTAAATGCAACTAAAATGTTACGACAATGGCTTTTAGATAATCAATAACTTAAGTAAAAAGACCCAAAATATAATCTTTTTACGAAGTTATCACACACCCAAACTTAAGCTATTCCTTGTTCTCAAGCAATGGATAATGATTAACAAAAAAATAAAATGCTATGGCAAAGTCTAAATCAGGACATTCAAGTGGTCTAAAATTTCATCCCTCAGCAAAAAGATTGCCTTCGAGATGCTAGACTAATTGAGAAGTCAAACACCTTTCCCTAGGCCAATATCTTTTGCAAGTGAGTGTGTGATTGTATCTAGTCTATGCTTAACAAAATTAGAAAGTCCCCAAGTAAGTTGTTTTGTTTTGCCAAGGCATAAATTATTCATTAAGCACAAAATTACTCCTATTTATTCAACACTTAAACTTTTTAATTTTTCAATTTTTCAATTTTTCATTTTTTAGCACTGCACAAGGGGAGTCAGCCTATCACAACTATCATCCCTCACTCTAGATGAATGAGAACATACCTTCTATCCTCGAGCTAGTCAAATAGAGTCATCATGTTACTACTTTCATTCACTCATATGCTAAGGCTCACATTTATTCAAGGCATTTCCAAACAATGCCGTCACATAGAGGAGTGTCCCTTTACAATTATACTAAGGCATTTATTTGCAATTCAACACAATTCAAAATATTGAGTTTAACTTAGCCTTTCAAACATTGATATAGTAGTTTAGTTCATTACCAAAATTCTATACCATGGCATGCAAAAGTTCTTTCATAAAAATTTTATAAGTTCTTTAAGCATAGAAAACATACAATCATGTTCAAAGAGTCACAAAGAATCGAGTCCTATGGTTGGTTCTATCCACCTTAATAGTCATGTACATTAATTTCCAACCATGACAAAAAAAAAGTATCATCATCAGACATCATTAACTAATTCCAAATAACTAGCCTAATCCTAACTAATGCCATAGCAAAAAAAACTAATATTAAAAGTAAAGAAAGAAATAAAGAAAAACATACTACCCTTGTTCACATGTTTGGAAGTCTATTTTTATTAAAAAAACTAATATTAAAAGTAAATAAAGATATAAATAAATAAAGCAAAGAAAAACAAACACACAACAAAAAAATTGCTATAGTAAAAAATTAAAGAGGGTTGAAGGGATGCAAACTCCAAATATCTTAAATTAATATGGCAATTTTGTCGCGTTCGATTGGATCACCAGTATAAACCAAAATGCCCCACATATAACATTCCTACCTTCAAAATATTTTGCTCTGGCATTTTGTGTCTTTCATATATGAATTATAGGACTTTTTCAGTAGTTCTCTCTCCTTCAAAGTGTTTTCCACATGAAGCTGAATAATAGTGGAATAGGATCTCTTTTCGCTCCTCTTTGGTGTGGCAACTTCGTCTGGGCAGTAAAATCTTTGAAAAGGTAGGGGTCATCCCAATGACAGTAGCCACTAACATGTATGACATTGTTCTTTCCCTGCCTATTGAAATAAGGAAACAATATACAACTAAAGAGAAAATTTATAGTGTCAACACACAACAAAAATACCGCGACAAATAATAATTTCTCATTAGAGAATTTTTTCCTTAATCTTCATCTCATTCCTTAATTCTTTTAGAATTTCTAGCCTAGACAGATGGAGTTACTTAGGTGGCGTTTTGTTCGCTGGAATCTCTTGGAATTAGGGGGAATTGGAATCAATTCCACCACTTTCCCATGTTTGGTTCAAGTTTTCAAAGGGAGAATTGGAATCCAATTCCATCAAATAAGGGAAAGTAAATTTCATCCATAACATGATGGAATTGAAATCTTTTAGAGGGAATGTGAAATTTGACCATACAACCTTCATCAATATTTTGGTATTCGGGTCGTATTTTTTAAAAAATTTCGGGTTCGGGTTGGGTCAGGTTTAGGGTTTAGGGTTTATGAATAATTACAATAATATCCCTCAATATATAATTTTTTCAATTAAGTCACTGTTTTTATTGAATAAAAATAATTTTTTTATTATTTCGTGTCGAGTTGGGTCGGGTTTCTAATTCATATATTCGGGTCGGGTCGGGTGAAACTTTATTTTGGTCAGGTCTCGGGTAGAAGTCCCCTTGTTCTCGGGTCGGGTCGATGGACCAAAAATCCGACCCAACCCAACCCAACCCATATCCATTAGTATGATTTTTATAATTTATTGAAATGAATAATCAATCAATAAAATGAAAATTTAATATTTTTTTAATTTTTATAATATATTGTTATATGTAAGTTATAAAACAAACTAAAATAAAACAAAAAAACAAGAAATGCAATTATGTCATTTTACATTACTGAAATCAAATTCATCTGACATGTTTGCAAACCAAACAGAATATGAAATTTGATTCCAATTCAATTTCCTGCCAACCAAACAGGTTTCAGATTCCAATTCCTGACAGATTCTAATTCATTCACAGTTTCCAATTCCCTCAGAAATATTCTAGCGAACCAAACGCCACCTTAGGGTTTAGGATGAATAAATTCAATGAAATCCAAAGGTTCAAATTTTGTACCTGGTTTAGCTATGAATAACCTAGACTAACTCATATCCTCTGGAATATCCTCGAGCTCCACTTCGTCTTCTTCATCGAGCTTCAAGCGATCATCAACGCATAAAAATTTGTTACGACAAAATTCGGTAGCTTCCTCTTCCATCGTAGATTCCCATAGAATCATTAGCATATTTGAGCGTGTTGAAGACATTAGAAGTTACCCTTTGTCCATTCACTCATGTTGGTGGGGGTTTATCTTTTTCCATGGCAACATTTTTCTTATCTTCATTGGTTGTACTCTTTGAACCCTCATCATTTTTTCCATCGAATGTGAGTCTTCTTGGATCTCCGAATCTTTGTGCACAATATCTTGGTTGGGCTCTCCGAGTGTCTCCCCCTCAAACTTAGAATCTTTGTATGTTTTGGTTCCACTCCTTAAGGTGAATGCACCACTATGCTCCTTATCTGGAACCTTAGTGACTTTAGTATCACTAGGTAGGTTGCCCTGTGGGCGTGCATGTACTGCTGCAACAATATTTTCTACATGGATTTCCAAGGCTCGCAAAGATTAACTATGACTTTTCAAACATACCCCTTGGCTCTGTAATAATGCTCATTTTCTCTCAATAGATGTTATGTGATCTTGCAATAGAGCATTGGTAGTTGCCATGAAGTTTTGGAGAGTAGCTTCCAAAGAGTTGGTATTCGCTGAAGATGCTGACTCCTGGTTAGTATTTTGCCTCAGTAATTATTTTTTTTGAAAACTTAGGGGTTCAATCATGCTATGCTGCCAATTTGAGTTGTTGGCATTGTTGGCTCCTTGATTCCCCCCAAGAAAAATTAGGATGCTGAAGCCATCCAGGATTGTAAGTGTCCGAGTAGGGGTTGTTGCTCCCATTGAAGTTTCCCACATAGTTGGTAGACTCGTGGTTGTTAGGGCATTCGCTCACATTATGATTACCATGTCATAAAATACATGTAGAACTTACCACCTTGACTTCTTTCACTTCGTTAGGACATTGAATATTCTTCAACATATTAGTAAAGGTTGACAATTGAGCTGAAATAAGGTTCTTGAGATCAAGTTCAAGTGATCCATGAGTCTTCCTCCCCATTCCTAGTCTCGAAGAAGAGAATTGATAGTCATTGTTTCCTATTCTATCAAGGATATCAAATGCTTCTTCAGGTGACTTGTCTGGAAAAGTACCATTTATCACAACATCTAGCATCAGTCTTGTTGGAGCATTTATACCATGGTAGAACATAACAACTTACGTCCAATCGTGGAATCCATGATTGGTGCATTTGCGTAGGAATCCCTTGTATCTATCCCAACACTCAAACATAGACTCGTCATCAGTTTGACAAAAAGATGCTATGGCATTCCTAATATGGTTGTTAATATTGGGTGGATTGTGTCGTAGTAAATTTTTTTTACACAAGTTTGCCCATGATTTTATCGAGCCAGAAGGTACTCCATTAAGCCATGCCCTATCAAGATCTTTCAATGAATATGGAAACAACTTCAATTTCAACACATCTTCATGCACACCTTGCTGCCAAAATGAATCACACACCTCCAAAAATGCTCGAACATGTTGCCTTGCATCCTCATGAGGTGCATCACCAAACTGCCTAATCAAGTCCAACATGTCAAACATGACTGATTTGAGCTCGAAGTGGGCTGCCTGAATTTCGAGAGCTACAATACCAAGTTTTAGGTCGTCCAATGTGGGAGCTAAATGATCTCTAATAGTTTGTGGTCGAGCTATAACCTCATCATTATGAATTACTGCAACATTTAGAACTTCAGAATCCTCCACTTCATTTCAAACTTCATATATAATTCTTTGAGCTCTTCGAACCCGTCTTCTTAGAAGGAAAAATTGCTCGATTTCAGGTTCAAAATAAGATAATGGATCATTGGGTATTCTACATGTTATGCAACAACTCAACACCTGAAAAGGGTATACAAAAATAGAAAATAAATCTATACTAAAAAAAGAATTAAATTAATGATATAAAACTTTTAAAAACACCAATTGCCAATCCCCGGAAACGGTGCCAAAAACTTGATCGCATGTAAATGTGTGTGTTGTGGCATAAAAATTTGTGCAAGTATACACAATTGATGCAAGTAATATAGTAGTGAGTGAGTATCATCTCCATAGGGATTGAGGGAATTCTTTAAACATTGCTTCAGCTAAGAATAGGCGTCACTAACTAATCCTAAGCGTCTAAATATAATGATATAAATAAATAAGAAATGTGTTATGCCAGCTGGTATGAACAGATGGAAAATGTTTGTTGATGCAAGAAATGTATAAAGTGAAGTGAGTAGATAATTTTTGTCGTGGCAAGAAAAATATGCAAGAGTAAATAAATAAAAATTGCTAAGGTAAAAATTAATGGCAAAAATAAGTAAATTAAAGTTGCTAAGGTGAAAAATGTTTGAGTTCTGAATATAGAATAGCAACCTCACTCAAGTAGACTTCTAATGGAGCACTTGAGTTGGATTTGCTACAACGAGAAATTATTATATGCCTAGGATGAACTAAGTATGTTGTGCCTACATGATTTACTAAAGTGTTCCTAAACTATCTCTAGTAAGGAACCTGATAAAACTATTGTCATAGAAATTCCTCTCAGCGTAAACAGTGACCCTTGCTTATCGATTAAGTATTATCCCTTTTAGTCGCTTGAAACCTTCTCCTTGTCTCTAAGGCAGATTATAACCTCACCATCCCAGATTAGTTCTCTTGTTCACGTAAATCTAACCTAAATCTCTCGATATTATGTATCAACTCCTAGAAAAACGACCATCTCTCAACAGCTCTTACAAAGACCAGAAATATTATACCAAGTCATCAGGCAATCTTTCAAAAGCTCTTACAGTGCTAAGGCATAAGATTAAAACAGTGAACAAAACAACAATAAACATAAATATACTTATCATACATTAAACACAAAATAAAGTATCATCCAAACATTTCCAACACCAAATAAAACAATTCCTAATGTGGCTAAAATCTGCCCAAAATATTCATTAAGTATAAGCCCTTAAAACATAAGAAATAAAGAACAAGGAGAAGGAAACTCACAAAAACAGAGTTTTGTCGTGACATCGTACCACCACCATGGACCGCTCCAGTGGGCTAGCCTCTCTCAAGGACCTAGCCGCTACTCTGATGAAGCCTGACTATGGAGGACAACAAGGAAGGACGAGAGGGGAACAGTGGAGAAGTTGTTGCAGTTGCCTCTTCCAAAGCTTTTAGGGTATATGAGAGTGGGGATCTCTATAATGGTGGGAATAATATGCTATTTATAGTGAGGAATTTCTAGGGTTTAGTGATCTTGAAATTTACCCAACTACCCTTCAATTCATGCCAATTTCGTGAATAATATGGCAGCTGGAAGGGGCAGAGGCTCACGTGAGGTGCAATGGACAGCTGGCCACGCGACATCAATAATTTTGTCTCGTACTACGTCAGACTTGCAAGATAAATCTTGCCGCCGCGAAAATTGTTCCTCACGGTCATCGTCTTCAGTTCCTTTGGCCCTCGCACAAAATTTTTCATGGTAAATAATTTCCTCCGAGGTCATTTCCTATCTCATGCATCATCAAAACCAACACACAACCCATCTCATCAGCGACATTAGTTTTATAAAGAAAAACTAACCGAGGCAAAACTTTTCCACCACATGCAATAAATGTCCTAAATGCAACAATATGCAACTAAAATGTTATTACAATTGCTTTTAAAGATAATCAATAACTTAAGTAAAAAGACTCAAAATATAGTCTTTTTACAGGGCTATCACAGACCTTGTATGAGTGAGGTATATTAACCTAGAAAGATTGTTTTATCAGCTAACAAAGCATCAACATCTTTTTTTTCACCTCTTCTTCAAACTTAGTAGATGTAAGATTCAAATTTTACTCTAATGGAGTTAAAACACATTTATCTTTTCCCAAGACAGTATCAATTATCAACTCCAAAGCATGTTTTCTTTGATACTAAAGAATCCCTTCTTGAGATCTCATCATTTCCAATCTAAGGAAAAATTTCAAGTCACCTAAATCCTTCATTTTGAAATTTTTGTTCAAACTTTCCTTTAACTCATTAATCAATTTGTTGACATTACCTGTTATCAACGAGTCATCTACATATACCAACAGGATCACAATACTGCTTCCTTCCTTTCTTGTGAATAATGAGTAATCTAGCTTGCTTTGAACATAACCAGCAGCTAACATGGCCTCTGATAGCTTCACATTTCATTGTCTTGAAGCTTGCTTCAGGCCATACAAATACTTTTGCTGTCTACATACCATTTTCTCCCCCCGACTGCAAAACCCTTCAGGTAATGTCATATAAACCTCCTCATGCAAATCACCTTGGAGGAAAGCATTGAATACATCCATCTGGAAAATAGGCCAAGCATGATGAGAGGCAAGAGCAAGGATGTTTCTAACTGTGACCATTTTGACAACGGGAGAAAAAGTATCCAAATAATCAATGCCATATTTTTTTATTATACCCTTTAGCAACAAACCTAGCTTTATATCTCTCCACCTCCCCAGAAGTAGTACATTTCACACTAAACACCCACTTACAACTAATAGGAACCTTCCTAGCAGGTAGAAAAACAATTGACCATGTCTTATTAGACTCCAAAGCCTGAATTTCTTCTTGCATTGTTTTAACACAAGCGAGATTTTGACTAGCTTCAACACAAGTTTTTGGTTAAATGATAGAAGTGGAATTAAGAAAAACCTGAGTCTTAAAAGGCAAATGGTCATACTTGAGCATAAAACAAATAAAATCCTCTATCCATACTAGAGGATGAGAAGTTCGAGAATACCTTCTAAAGGCAACACAAGGAACAATATCAAATGACTCAGAAAAAAAATCATGAACAGGAGAATTATGCATAGGTTAGATAGACAAATCCTGATCATAATTACTTTCTAAAATAGGGGAACTAACTGATGCCATGGAATCAGAAGGAGAAACAATAGTATGATTAGGAAACATCAAAATCAGGAACAGAGGCAGAAATAGGAAAAAAAAAAAGAGAAGACTTAGAAATAGGAAACATAAAAGGAAATATATGCTCATGAAACAAGACATCCCTGTTAAAAAAAATTTTACGAGTAATAAAATTGTGAAGTTTATAGCCTTTTTGAGTAGAATAATAACCCAAAAACACATAGGGAACATCTCTTAGTGAAAACTTATCAGATTCATGAGGTACAGTTGCATAACAAAGGCAACAAAATATTCTAAGATATGACAAATAAGGAATTTTATGAATAAAAACTTCAAATGAAGTTTTCCAGTTTAATACAGAGGATGGAAACATATTGATAATGTGACAGATAGTCTTAACACAATCTCCCCAGAACCTTATAGCCAAATTAGAATGGAAATTTAGGGCTCTAGCTACTTTAAGAGATGCTTATGTTTTCTCTCAGAAATACCATTTTGTTGAGGTGTTTTGACATAAGAAGATTGATTAATAATACCTAAAGAACTAAAAAGAGCAGAACATTCAATACTGAAGAATTATGAGCCATTGTCACTTCTAATAATATGAACTTGAGCAGCAAAATGAGTGTTGATGTAAGCAAAAAAAGACTTGAGATGAAGGATAGCGTCAGATTTAAGTTTTAGCAAGAAAATCCAAGTCATCCTAGTGTGATCATCAACTATTGTGAGAAAAAACCTATGAACAGAATGAGTAGACACTCTATAAGGACCCCATAAGTCAATGTGTATAAGATGAAAAGGTTTATCAGACCTAAAGGAACTAGAAAAGAAGGGTAATCTATGTTGTTTAGCTTGAGGACAAATAGTACAATCATGCACACAAGTTTTGTCAAGTTTAGAAGAAGAAAACATAGACAATTTATGCATTTTATTAAGAGTTTCATGCCCCAATCGAGCATGCCAAGTGGCAGTTTTATTATCAGAAGAAGATGACATACAAACAGAATCAAAATGTAAAGAAATTAACAAATACAAACCACCAATAACCCTACCAATCCCCTGAATCTTGCCTGGAGAGATCCTGTAAAAGACAAAAATCAGGATAGAATACAACAAAACAATGAAAATATTTGGATAATTTTAACACTAACAACAAATTATGGGTGAAATGAGGTACATATAAAACATGATGCAACTCATGAATAGTATCTAAGAAAACAGAACCCATATGTGTAATAAAAGTTGTTTTACCATTGGGAAGATGAACAAGACGTTAAACAGAAGTGAAATTAATAGGATTATTCAAGAATTGAAGATCAGATAAGACATGATCAGTTGCTCCAGAATCTAAAATCCAGGTAAGAGACCTAACAGTTGCAGAGTGCTTACCATAACACCAGCCATGTTGATAACAGATGGCTTGTTAAGAAGCTCCAAAATCTAATGATATTGATCTTTAGTGAAGACTGGAACTGAAGGCGCTACAGACACGAGAGCAAGAGGAGATAAAGAACCAGAAGTGTGATCAGATTGTGAACCTTCCAAATTAACATTCAAGACAGCATGAGCATTCTTCTTACGACCGATCTTAAAATCAGAAGGAAAATCGATCAAACGATAATACTGGTCACATTTGTGACCTTTGATCCCACAATGATCGCAATTTCCCAAAAAACACCTACGAGATCATGAAGAAGTCTGATTAACAGAGGATACAACCGAAGAACTGGAAAACATCGCAGATGAATCATAAATGGGATAAACGCCAGAAAGATGAAGGCATTGCGACTCTTCTCGAATCAACAAAGAATACACATGATTAACAGATGGTAATGACTGATTGAGCAACAACTGAGTCCGAATGGATGAATAAGTGTCATTCAAGCCCATAAGGAATTGAAAGAGGCGTTGACGCTGAATGTGCTGAAGAACTTGTTGCGAATTTCCACAATCACAAGAGGGAATAAGACTTAGGGCAGAATATTCATCCCAAAGCAACTTCAGTCGAGTAAAATAAATTGAGATTGATGAGTCACACTGAAATAATCGAGCAATTTCTTGATGCAAAAAAAAAGAAAGTGAGATTCATCCACTTTATGAAACCGCTCCTTCAAATCCTTCCAGACAAGAGCGTCACTAGAGGTAAAAGCGATGCCAGCCGAAAGCTCCTTGCTCACAGAATTGAGGATCCAAGAAAGAACAATTGTGTTACAATGATCCCACTGAGGATGCAAAATCGGATCGAAACTGTCCATGGAATAGTCACCATCAATGAATCCAAGCTTATTCTTCGCAAGGAGAGCGATGCAAAGAGAACGGCTCCAAATCATGTAGTTCTCGATCCCAATCAACTGACGAGAGATAAGCGGGGTACCAGGAGTATCAGAGGGGTGCAAGTAAAAAGGGTGATTGAAATCGATGGCACTGGAATCCATCGCCGGAGGCATGAGAGATGACGGGAAAGGGGTTAACAAGAAATAGGCAAACAAAAGGGACCAAGAGAAAACAGAAAACGAGCCCAAGAAACTTGGCTAAAACTGATACCATGTAAAGATTGTAATATTATTATAAAACATGTATATTTTATTCCACTTAACATAAACTTACAAAAGAATGTATTTATACAAAGCTAAGCAACTAACTACCTAACCAATTTACAAACTGTTAAGTAACAAACTAACTACTAATCTCAACAATTATGACATTTATCAATTTATAGTAATTGTTTTTTGTTTTCAATTTACTTTTTTCATGGTGTTTGGTTTTGACTTTAACCTTCTTAGATATTAAAGTATTTCCAAAAACTTATTTTAGTAATACTCTGCACAAGCTTGAAGTGGAGTGTGGATGGAAGAACTTTGTTTAGTGGCTATACAGATGGTGTAATCAGAGTCTGGGTAATCGCCTCGGTCGATACTAGACTACTGCATGCATGTCTTGCCTTGAGTGAGTAATCACAATATTTAAGATTTTCCTAGTGATACATGTCTTAGCATTTTCAAACCTTTTTAAGATTTTGTTTAAAATGTTGGATCTTCGATTTCTTATTTTGTTTGGATATTACCAGTCACTATGCTCTGCAAAGGTTTGGTTTTAGATAGAACTAACCATTTTGTATAATGACAAACAGAAGACATAAATTCATACTCCATATGTCATCTATGTGATAACTGCATTAGTTCTATTCTCCATGTCTTTTACATTATCGATTATTTTCTGCTTCAGTCCAAATATTGAAAAAATCAAAGTTGGGACGCCTGATGAGGGTGCAAAGCTAAGCACGGATTCTTCACATACTTGCCGAGCCGATGAAAACGAGACTAACTTAAAGTCTTCTAGCTTGGCATATTGTTCGAACTTCGATGAGCCTCATTAGCAAACTGATTGGAGCTTAAAGCCAACACCTTTCATGTTTCTATTTAGATTGGAAGAAAGGAGAAGCCAACCGTGATTTTAGGGAGAGAAGTAAGAGAGGCCTGGAGATAATAAGGAGAGAAGTAAGAGAGTCATGGAGATAATTAAGAGAGAAGAGAAAAAGGTGAATTTTGAGCAATGAACATAATCAAATGATGTCAAAAAATGTCATCCATGGGCCAAATTAACATTCTGTTCCTGCGGTAATTATCATTAACCGAGAATGGTGAATTTGTTATAAATCAATAATGTTAGTGATTTTTTTATTATTTTTGAAACTTCAATGATGAAAACAAAATTTTATTCAAACATTAGTGGTGTTTGTATAATTTACTCATTATTCAGTTTTTAAACGTTCAATTTTAGTTTTCTTTATTAAGGTGATTTACATGTATTAAATTCTAAATTTTAAGTTGAATATCATCTCGATAATTTGTGAACAATCATATATTTTTAGTCAGATTTAAAATTTTACATCTTAACTACTGAGTCAAATTTAAAACTTAATTTTTTTCATAGAATAATAATTTAAAACTGAAGTTTGACTACTTAACCCTCTAGCACTTGCTTCATCCTCCTTACAACTGTCTACTTCTTCAACCCCACACATGTCTGCTTCTTTCTCTCCAATTATTCGAAAACATTAAGGTACGTTTAGTTCTAGGAAATATAAGTTATTTTTATTTTTTTTAAATATATATTTTTAGTATGTTCATTAAAATTGTTTTCAAAATTTTAAAAATATGGAAACACAAAATTTAATTTTTTTAACTTAACTTACACTGATTTAAATCATTTTAACAATGATTTTTTTTACTTAATGGTATCTAAAAACCTCAAACTCTTGCAAGAATTAATATTGTCCCTAAACTTTTTTTATAATCAATTTGGTCCTTAAGCTAATAACTTTAATAATTTATTTTTTAGTAATTTTATATTTAATGTATTAAATATCTTAATAATTTTTTATATTTTATATTTTAAATTTCAATAATTTTTTTATTTTTCAAAAAAGTAATTAAGTCTTTAAACTTTATAAAAGAATCAATTAGGTTCTCGAACTTAGCCAAAAAATCAATTAAGCTCATCTACCACATCATCATCCATCATGTACTATCACAACGGGATTGTGAACTATCACATCAATATTGTGAACTGTCATGTAAGCATCATGATGGTCAATGTTTGATTCGGTTAGTCAAAGGGTTAGATTGATCCCCCTCCAATCTAGGTGTTACATTGAGTGAGAAAAGAGTTCAAGGGCTATACTAGTTTTTCCCAAAAGTTTGAGGGCCTTAAATACCACTAAACAATTTTTAATTTTATTTTAATGACACTTTTATATGCTATCGTTTACAATAATATTTTTTTTTATATATTTTTAAATTTAATTGATGTACAATATGCATTAACATTATACTCTTATTATAAACTAAAATGATTTGTGTTATAAAATTTCTTATCAACTTTATTGTTTTATATTTGCATAACTCACATAATAAATTTATGCAAAAAATATATTTTAATATAATTATTTTATAACTATTTGTTCATTTATATTTTAAAAATAGATATCAAATATATTTTAATTATTTTTATTTTTGTAATACCCCAAATTTTGACTAGTGACTAAAATGTAAGATTTGAAAGTTTGGTGGCTAAAGTATAAACTTTGTAAAAGTTTAGGGTCCAAGAATGTAATTTTGGAAAATTTGTATATTTTAGCATGTAAATGAACAGATTGTCCTAAAACAAGAATTTTCATGGTAATCAAATTTTCGGTACGAGATTTGTGATAAAAGCTATAATATAATAAAGTTAGGTATGAAAATCGGATAATCGGATCGAACTAGAATTTAAAGAAAATTTGAATGATTCTAGATAAGTGTTAGAAATATTATTTTTCATATTTTAGATCAGAGAAATTTAGAATATATCAGTGTAATTTTTTAGATTTGGTCGAACAGTGAAAAATTTAGTGACTAAAATGCAATTTTTAAAAATTGCATAGCTAAAGTAGAAAGTAAACTTAAATTTGGTTCATTTTTGACTTTCAGATATTTTAATGAAAGATGTTTTCAATGGCAAGTGGTATTTTTCAAGATTCATTAATGGTATTTTGGGAATTTCTTATGAAATGAATTTTAAATTCATTTTTATTAGATTAAAACGGAGAAGTCTCACGTGCGATAGCCTAAAATACGACTAAGGAAATACGCTACCGGAAATATTATTTTTAAACATTTTCGGGGGGAAAAATTAACTAAAACATTATTATTTCTACCGAAAATGTTATTATTGGGCGCTTTATCGAGTTTGTTAACATATTCGGTAAAACGCTACCTAAAACATTACTTTTTTCTATCGAAAATGTTAATATTCGACACTTTACCAGAAATGTTAATATTCAACACTTTACCAGAAATGTTAAAAAAATTAATGTTTTAGGTAAAAATAAATAATGTTTTAGGAAATTTTTTACCGAAAATGTTAAAAAAATAACATTTTCGGTAGCGTCTTTTTTTAGTCATATATTAAGACTGTCGTATGAAAAAACTTCCCGGAATTTGAGGTGGCAAAGATTGGAGCAAGCATGGCGGTTTAGTAGCAAGTGTAAAGGCTAATAAATGAAAGGAAAAATCAGCAAAAGTGCTCATCTTCTCCCCTTTGCTGCAGTGAACTCCATGGAAGGTGAGATTTTTTTTCCCATTTTTAAGCCATTTTCTTTGATTTTTAGGATAAGCTATTAGATAGAGAATTAATCTTCTTGAAATTCTCTATCATTTGGCATAAAAATTACATGAAAATCATGCTTAGATGTTGAGATTCATGAATTGGGTGGTTGAAGAACACGTTTGAATTTGAAGATTTATGGGAGATTTTTATTTTTTTGATGTTGTTGAGTAATTCTAAAGCTAGGTAATGCTTAAATTCAAGTGTGTAAGCTTATATTATGTTTTTGTCATGGTTAGGGTTTATAGAAGTTGATTGAGTTGTGAATAAATTTAATGTTGTAATGATTTAAGTAGCATGAATTTAATGAAAGGAAGTTGAATTAATGCTTGAAATTTAATGAAAATCAAGTCCTAGTCTACTAAGGGTATTCGACATTGGAAGTGTTCTAGAATTGACATTGGAAGTGTTCTATGTGATTTGGAGATCAATTTGGAAGCTTGAAATAGAAAAAGTGCTAATTTATAAGTATTGTGAATTGTGGGACAATATAGCATGAATGTGATATTTGGGGTGTTCATTGTGGAATTTTAATATTAAAATGCTGAAATTTTAAGTTAGGAAGTTGATTGATATTTAATTCCAAATTTGGGAGAAATTAAAGGTGGAATTCGAAAGGTGATATAAGATTTAGGACATGATTGTAAGTTTATTAAATGTGGAGGTATTATTTGGGTAAAATGTTGTAAGGCTGGAAATTTTATTAGTATGCTGATTTTTGAGTTTAAATTATTGAGTTGTGATCAAATTACAAGTTTGTATAGATGGATGGTTAAATTTGAAAAGTCCAAGAAGTTTTGGGATGGAAGTGCAAGTTTTTGAATGTTAAAGTATCGATTTGAGAATTTTATTAAGGTGCTGGAAATTTTAGAAATTAAAGTGTAATGATCATAATGGTGAAGGATCATTATGAATTCAATGGAAAAGTTAAGATGAATTTTAGAAAGAATTCATAATTAGTGGCTTGATTTTGTAATTGGTACAAGTTGAAGGGTTGATAGTGGAGATAAATATTTATGGAATTCAATGAACATTTTAAAAAGTTTGAGATTACGACGGAAGTATGATTTAGTTTTATATCGATTTAAGTATCGGTTTTTTTTATTGAATTTTATATTTAAGTTTGGATTATGTTAGTTTGATACTAACATATAGTTTGAATATAATATGTTATTATGCTACGTTGTCAAACTACTATTAATCTAGCGTTCCTAACAACCCAAAAGGAAAGGAGGGAGCATGTGAATAAGAAGTATCGTACAAAGTTCAGTAGTGCGACCAAGGTGAGTGCATTTAATTTGTATTTATGTTATCACACAAACATTGAGTTGCAATGAGCCAATGACGGAGTTACTATGGTAAGAAGTGACTCCTAAAGGAATGTGAATGGTGATTCTAGCTTATATGTTCATTTATTAAACTTACAGAATTATGGAATTGAGTTAAGAATGCTAATTAGAAAAAAAAACGATATCTTAAGCTTTTATGCTCCGTAAATGTTTATCAAGTTGATGTGATATTTTGACTCGTATATCAAGAGTATACGGACTACGAGTGTTATATTTTTTATATCAATTTTCATTTACATTAATCAAACATATTCTAATTTTTAAAAAACTGAAAATGAACATTATTTTTCTGAAAATAAAAAAATATTTTCTAGAACCAAACGAACCGTTTGATGATTTCTACTGTATAGTCTCAATGACCTGTGAAGCAACCATCATTTGGGATTCTAATTTTTCAATCTCTGTTTTAGTCTTTTTCAGTCTTCATGCTCTTGTTTTACTCGATCCTAGTCTAAAATTTGATTCATCTCGAACCGAATTTCAAGCTTAAAATTATGAATTTAGCTCAAGTTTATCGAACTCAACTCAATTATAAAAGCAAAGGCTTACATTTTCATTTTGAACAATTTTTCTCTAACAAGAATATCATCTTGAATAGTTGAATCAAAATAAAGGAGCTCAGGACTTCAAAGACACGAGTTTTTTTAAAATCTAAATGCGAGATCTACACAAGAATGTCTTCTTCATCATCGAAACTCAGATTCAATTTGTAACTTGAATCCTGCACCCTGTATGATCTCGACCAAATTGGATGCAACTCCGGTAGCTTGGACCGTTGTCTGTTTCATTAACTGAGAAAGAGATTAAAAGGTCATTTTCTATGTCGTAAATACTGAAGTATGCAACAATCGAATGAACCGAAACTCGGTAAGTGGATCCTGGGATGGTAAGAAGAAAATGTATGACCCTTGATACCAAGTTGGGAGTCATTGAGCAAAGGGTCTCATAATGAATACAGGAAAAGTGATTGTTTTGTTTAATTGACTATGAACTCGAGCTTTATGACCCCGTAGGTCAGAGGTGCCCATGAGAAGTGATCTGAAATCTTAAATAACATATACATATATGTATGAATACGCATACGTATACGTATGCGCATATCAAGCAGCAACGAAAAGAAGACTCACCTCAACAGTGCCAATACCTCGAGGACTTGAACCTTCAAGTTGGAAACGCCTTCAGCACCCTACAAGGAACAAATAAATCATCCCATGAGATTCAATTATAATTTATACTCTAAACAAAGTCAAAGAACCTGCCATCAATAATATCAATGGGAACATGGTTGTACAATTAAATAGTTTTCCCTGTTTTCTTTTCAGTGAGAGATAGCAATTATGTGAATTATTATCCTCTGCAAGAAACCATTTTCTAAGGGATTTAGTGAGACACTAGACTAAGATCGGGTTCCGGTCCTTCGGATAAAATAGAAGTCCCTGTCGTTCAGTTTGAAGATAAATCTATCAAGCTGCCTATCAAAACGATCAGTTTTGTCTGCAAATGATAAATGCTGTTGCTATAATTTGCTTGGAAATTAAAAGGTTCATTATACCTCTAGTGCCTTGGTCACCTTTGGAATTTCAGCTTCATTCAACATTCCATCTGCCTTCAAACAATCAAGATTGATTAATAGTGACCTATGCATGAATAGTTCCAAGGGAAGAAATTTGTAGAGAAATATACATATCCAAATAGACAATTTCAAACAAAGCTAGTCAATGGAATCAATTTCTGCTTAATTCAAGAATTCAAATTCTATGCCTTTAAGTAACAGAAAGATGTTCCCCTGGTGAAGATTCTTTAAGTATCTCAAAACATTATACATTTTTTCCAGAATTCAGTAACAAAGAGTTAATCATTTAAGCATAACTGAAAGAAGTTTAGAATCCAGCATTATCTAAAGCAACCTTTTGACAAATATAATTACAATTCCCCATTACTTAATAAAAACTATTTGTGAACTTTTACATGATTAAGTAACAAAATAAAACTTAGAAGCTCAACTTAATTCACTCAACCGACAAAATTCCTTTGCATCAACAGAGGACTTTGATAGTTCACATATAAGAGAAGCCGGCTCTGAATCACATAGTTCAATTTCCTTTTCGCAGACCAAAATAGCATAAAAAATTACACAAGCTGTATCTAAAAAAAGAATATCCAATACCTGGAAGTACATTCTGAGAGTGTCTGAAGGAGAGACAGGAACAGAAACCGAGTCTTGTTGTTCAGCAACAACAGGGTCCTCTTGTTGGGAAACAGATGTTTCTCCTTCTTCAGCAGACTTGAGTTTCCATGTCCCATCAAGAGTTTTGGTCTTTCTGGAGGATAAGGAGATGCTGTTGGAAGAAAAGGAACATAGTTTCGTCTGAAAAAGGATGGAATTAGGAAAAGGAGAGATTTTCGGGAGACTTAAAATGGGTTTTGGAGATTAGACGTGAAGGGATTGAAAATGCCGAGACCGTTGCCATTTCTTGCCTTCGTTCTTCAAATTTCTGCTTTTGGATGGAAGAGCTGTGAAGTGGATTGAGTTTGTTGTACTATCCGAATCCGAGTTCGGAAGAAGAGGTGCTCTGCTTTTGTTATGTCTCTTTCTTTGTTGGGCTCTCTCTCTTCTTCCGTGTCCATTGGGAAAGGGTTTTATTTACTCTGTCCATGTTTGGACTATGAATTGGACAAGGGCCATTCTTTATAGACCCTTAGATGTTTTCTTATGCATTCATACAATATATAAATTTTGATCTTTTTCCTATTTATCATTATTTTGCATGGTAGATTTATTTGTTTATTTCTTAACTCGTATTGATGACTGGATAAAAAATTAACCAACCACAAAAGAACTAAAAAAAATTAACCAAATTATTCCGACATGAAGCTGTTAATTCAAATATGTATTGGCATTAATATCTTCAGGGGGTTTTTTTCCATTTAATTGGAGGGTGTTTGGAAACTCGTATCTATACTATATACATATCAAATACGTGTAATTCGGGCGACACAAAAAAAAGAGCTCCCGATAACAATTATGTAGAGAGCATGTATCGACAAGCACATCAATAAAAAGGGAAACTTTAAGCAATTATCTTCTACTATCAGTTATTGCCTTATTCCACTATCAGTTCTTCCAGCTAACTAAAATGTGGAAATTTGACATTCCACATGCAACGATAAGCGATGGATCAATTGTATCAGTCTTCATCACACAATGATCGTCATTGAAAGCAAGCATGAAGTACTGAGGAATTTCCAGTCTCCAACAGCTCCTAGTCTCCATGTAAAACCATTGCATCTCTTCACTGCAATTTCTGAATACACTAGAGTCATGTACAGGATCGTGAACTAAAAATACAAGGATTTTCTGTTGATATATTTTAAGATGAATTAGCCCACCAACAAGTCCTCTGGACGTTGTAAAATAATTGTTTATTACTGTAAGTTACATCTCAAAGTCAGGCATGTTTGTTGCTCGTCATAGATAACTCTCCGCTGGCAGTATCTTCAGTAACTTGGCAAGGTCATAAGACTTGAATTCCTTTCCATAGCACAAGCTTATATCCAAGGCAGTTTTCCCATCCTGAAATGCAGCAAAAGTAGACCAAATTTACATTCATCAATAACAAAAAGCTACATCTCACTCAAATTCAGGACATCTGTCTCGAGACGGATATGTTTTCATTTTTTTATATTTCAGAGTGTGCATCAGACATGAGTTTCAAGCACGAGTACTTCTAGGAAAAATAAAGGTCGGAGTAACAGTTATAAAGGAAAACTGCATGATTCATGTTTCATTGCCATGACCATAACCATTTGATGGCAAAATAGCCAGGAATGATACATTATTTATCAGCAAGTTCCAAAAATAGTGCTGAATATGCACGAAACCAGAAAACTAAGTGAGAACATTTATTCATTATACAAATCAGAAATTAACTAAACAGCCCCTTGTACGAAGTTCATAGTTGCTAGTTATAAAGAAAACTAGGCATTATATATCTGAATAGGGCTTCCCAATGTTATTTGGTCTCTAGGTGTGAGTGTCTGATATGCGTGTCCAACATGGGGTATTTTCAATGTATTTGGGAGTTCTTTAGAAGTTATATCCCTTACTTTTGACTAAATAGTATCAGGCAGACACGGTATTAAAAATAATAATAAGAAATTGGAGGGAACCCTACATGCTCGAACAAATATCCAACAACATCGAACATGGAAGAGAAAAAATAAACGAGATTGTTACTTTAACTATATTGGTTACCTGGTTTTTTCTGGTCTTATCCGCACCGTTGATCAACAAAACTTTTGCTATATCTCTCTTTCTACTTTGCACAGCAATGTGCAATGGTGTCCATCCATCCTGTAATAAGGGGTTGCAAAAGAACTTCGAAGCAAAGCGACAAGCAAGATACATATAAGTGTCAAAAAGTTTATGAACAACTCACTCTATCAGCAACATTGACATCAACATCGTATTTCAGCAATAATTTCACAGTTTGCAAAGCACCAACATGACTGCATGATGAGTGGGGTAGCACCATCCTGTTTTGGGATAAAGAGATACAATTCGAGTTTAATATGCGTAAGAATAGAACAAGAAGCCGCAACGGGTTATGATAACAAAATGTTACCTCACCTTATCTTTGATATGCGGATTTGCACCTTTTCGTAAAAGACTGATTACAGCCTCCTTTTTACCAATAATTGCCTTATGAAGAGCAGTGTGACCATCCTGTCTCATCATACCGAAATTAGACATTGTATGCTAGAAACGGCAGAATATAGATATTAAATTTTGGTATGAATAAGATTTACCTTATCCACCTCATCTATGTTTAGCCCATTTTCAAGTAGCTTATCCATAGAATGTATCTGCAATGATAGTTCAGAGTTTGAAGCAGTTTCCATTTGGCCTGGAAATCCGTTCACAAGAAATCAAATGATCAGTCCGTAAAAAGTTTATGGATACTTGAAAATAAAACTGTTATACAACAAAACAAGAGAGTATTCAAATTACGGTCGATAATTTCCTCGGGTTAGGAGAGGCATTCTGCTGCAGAATGCTTTTCTTCGGGTCCCAAAAACGCTCAACCTCTGCAAATGATCAAACATCCTTGTACAGTTCATCTTTGGTAAATATAATGTAGGAATTAGGATAACACATAAAAGTAGTTATATCACAAGGATATCTGACAAGTACATCGAAGATGTCAACCAGTGCAAATGAATTAAATACAACTCCAAGCTTGCCCGGAACAAAAACAGAATCGGACTATGGTCAATTATATTAGTTTGAAGGCTTCAGAATCAAGCTGCAATATAAGTCATCAACCAACCAGATACGACTGGGTCTAAACGGAGACTATTCAAATATTACATCTTCATACACAAAGATGAAATCATATTATAGATCAGAAGAAATATTAATTCTTCACCAGTTGTTTTCAGATTCGTAAAAGATGAAAAAACTGTAAATCTCCCTATCCAAACAAAAAGGATAGGAAATCATGATTACTCGACAAAATTAAATCATAAGAGGTTTTGAATCAATAAAAGCAACATCTTTGCCTATGTTATTTGGATTCGACTGAGTATCAACTAGGTGTGTCTGACACAAGAAAGTTAAATGTTTTCTAAGTTTTCCATGTATTGGAGATTTTCAGAAGATCGTTTTCTCATATGGGTCCAATTATGCATTGGACACCAATGTTGGATGAGGGCAAAAAAAAAAGGGTAGAAACAATGTAGCTTTACAATTTAATGAATCCCCTCCATGGCCGCTATTTAAAACTGGAATTTTAATGACTATCACCACAAGAATCATTGTCAAGTCTCACTCAAATCACCACATTCTAATTTCAGATTTTGGGGGCATATGAACCATGGTATGTACATATCTTTTACACAAGGATTGGATATAACATGCAGAATCACTAAATATGCCCTCAAGCCTGGTTAGAGAACACAAAATAACTTAGGGAATCATCATGGAATGTAGTTAGGTACTAAACAGCAAATCGGAATATCAATTAAATAGAAAAAAAAACAAAATTCCCATTTAAATCTTATAAAAATAACTCAAGTATCTACAGAAGCATGTTCATTTCCAATAGAGAAAAAAAAAACCCACCTTTGACAAGATCTTCCTCATACTGATTCGTTGTATAGTTATCAACAACTCCAAAGGATTTCTTTGTAGAAAACCAGACTTGTCATTTCTTCCTCTTTTCTTCTTCTACATAATCATCGTCTATTCACTTCCACTTCCATCGTCTGGGTTTTCCCACATTCCATCTGCCTTCAAACAATCAAGACTGATTAATACTGACCTATGAATGAATAGTTCCAAGGGAAGAAAGACATATAACCTGTAGCATTTCATGCAGACATAGTACCAGCAATTGCAGACAATAGTCAAGCAAGACTAGTCAATGAAACCAATTTCTGCTATCAAGAATTCAAACTCTATGCGTTAAGTAATAGAAAGAAGCTCCCCTAGTGGAGATTATTTAATATCACAAAGCATTATACATTCCAGAATTCAGTAACATATAGTTAAACATTTAAGCATAATGAGAAAGAAGTT